GGATGAGAGCTGCTCCATCCAAAGTGGGATGGATGCCGTCTCTCCTAACAAGAACTGAAAGAACTGAATATAAATAACTTGAGCTTATTATACAATATGATACTACAGTATATTTCTAGCTAATTTTCTCTTTCTCTCGATAAAACTTTCTTTAAAGATATGACGCATCGTGGGGTCCCCCTGAAAGAAAGGCAGATATGAAATGTATAAATTACATTCGAGGTCAAAATATGACAAGATATTTAAATTCAAATGCATTTGCATTTGCATAACAACAAATTTTACAATTGAGCTTTCAGGTTTACAAACAAAATGCTGGCATGCATGGATATAAATGCTACCAAAACATAACCTCCTCCGAAGAGTTAATAATAAAGTATCCAAGAATTAAAGGAGCATCTTTTTTCAATGGCCATTACTTATCCTCAGTGGAAGAAAATGTGTAATAGTTAGTAAAAGGACCTTCACTTTTTAAAGTACCAAGGACAAGTTCAGAGAAGTTGCCATTTACAACTCTGGCAATCATTAACTCAGTGAACTTTATCTGCAGTTGCCTTTATTCACACAAGAGAGAAGGTTTGTTGTTTGAGTTTGGTTTATGGAGACCACATCAAGAGGGTTCAGTCAGAGCTGCATTTTCAGTTACTCATATTCTCTTTTTAAATATTTTCTCATGTGTTTGCAGTTTGGGTTCTTGTTAAGAGATATAATATTAATGAGGCAACATTGCTGCAATCTTATAGTATCTGCAGTAAGGATGTAGAAGCAGTATTAATTCTCTGAGTACTGTTGAACCACAACATCTGCCTGCTGTCTTTGTTCAGTTTGCAAAGAAATATGGAAACATTTTCACCATCAGAATCTTTGGTGGAAGAACCGTGGTCATTAATAGCTACAAGTTTGTGAAAGAAGCCCTGGTCCAGCAAGGAGACGACTTCATAGATCGACCCACCATACCAGTGTTTGAAGAATTATTTGGCAATGAAGGTTCTGTTTTTCTCTTTTTTCAACGAAAAAAAAAAGACATTTAGTTAGTGTTGAATACAGTGAACAGCATAATTGAGACACCAAATCAGGGCTGTAAGCATGTAGCTAGTGTTTGTTACATTCAGTCTAATATTGTGTATTTGTGTGTTCAAAGGTCTCGCGATAGCAAATGGTTATCCATGGAAGCAGCAGAGGAGATTTGCTCTTCATACACTCAGAAACTTTGGTCTTGGCAAGAAGACCCTGGAGTTATACATCCAGCAGGAGTGCCAGTATCTCTCAGAGGCTTTCACAGAACACCAAGGCATGAAAAAAACATCTATGCTTTTTTCCGAAGAGTCCAAAGATCACCACCTTTCTCTGCGATAGAACTGAAGTTATGAGGCTTATTGCCACCATTCAGTAGAGTTTACCTACTGTTACGACATGGGTACTTGTCCCCCATGTGTCAGGGGGCTTTGTCTGTGACCCAGCATTTTGAGGTCTAAGTTCTTTTGTGAATTCAATGTGTTTTGGAAAGTTTTAGTTTTCTCTTATTTAGTAGTTCTATGCTTTGGCTGTATGTTTTGTCATATTTATTCCCATGTTGTCTGGGCAAGGTGTCTCATCTCCCCATCCTGTTTACATGCCTCCTCATGTTCTGTTCCATGTCTCCCCTCTCTGTTATGTTTGTCCATGTATGTTTCTTCAGCCCAACATGTCTCGTTCCCTCTTGCTGTATCCCCTGTGTTCAAATCCCCCCCTCTCTCATCTTTCCTCCCTCGCT